CCCCAAAACCCCAAAACCCCAAAACCCCAAAACCCCAAAACCCCAAAACCCCAAAACCCCTTATAGAACAAGTGCAGTTGATTTTAAATATTTATATTCCGCTCAAAATTTAAATATGTATGGACCTCAGCATTATGAGAGTTGTAGCACGGATAGGCAGGATTCAGAGAGATATGGTAAGTTTGGAAAAAGGGGGATTTTGGAGTTAGATGAAGAGATATTGAGGTTTGGAGGGGTTTAGAGAGGCTGGATTTGGATTTTAAAGCAATTAGTGTGAAATAGATTTTTTAAGGATGAAAATGAGGTGATTTTTGTTTGTTTTGGCTGGGATAAGGAGTAGAGAATTTTTGAGAATTTGAGAAATTGTTATTAATTCTATTTTTCTTATTTTTTGTTCACATTTAATTATTATATAGACCTAAAAGCTTTAAGAAAGTATTTGGAATTTGATTGCCCCAAATTTTATGATTTTACCAAAATTGGCCAAGACAACTGGAATGAAACATACGAGCAAACCATCGAAAGGTAATCTTAATATAAATCAATCTCTACCTTCAGAGTTCACCTTGAAATTATTCAAGATTTCTGAGACTTTTCAAAATTTCTTAAAATTGGATAGACTCCACAGAAAGCCGCTTGAACAGCGGAAAAAATCAAAATCTTCAAAATCAACCTCAAACCCTCGAACTCAGCAAAGGTCGAAGAAAAGGAAGAACTGTGAGAATGAGGATCCTAATTGCTTGCCTCCTACTTCAGCTAAACTAAAATATTTCAGCAAGAAGAATAAAAGTAAAGAAGCTCCTAGACATAAAGCGTCAACTAGCAAGACTGTGGAAGTTTTTCTATTTGAAAATAAAGAGCAGAAGAAGGATAAAACTAAGAAAAATGGTAGGCAAATATCCCCTGCAACGAAGACTCTCGAGACTATGGTGAGGAAGTACCGTTATAAGAAAGATCCACAGTTTGCTTCATTTAGTTATAACGGATACACACCTTCATCTGTAAATAAGCATTCTTCCTCTAAGCCTCTGATTAGTCTCCCTGTGTATCAAAAATACATAAACAAGGTAAAGAAGGCAGATATGAGTTCAAATTTAAAGGATTTGCATCGAAAGATGCATTCCTGAGTTTTGGATTCTTTCAATGAAAAGAAGCGGAAGTCCAACTCTAAGAGTAAATCTCACCAGAAGATTTCTTACAAAGCTAGTTCATCATTCATATTCCGGACAAAGTCTCCATTGAGCAAGACCAAGACTTGAAATGAAAATTTTATCATGAAGAATAAGAAGAATTTAAAGAGCATGAGTAATACTGATGAATGCAAGAAGAAACAGAAAAACAAGAGGTTCAAGAGTACCCTGAGCAAGAAGTCTATTGGGAGCAGTACTCATAAAACCTCTGGATACTCTACATCAAAGAATAAAGGTTCCCTTACAACTTCTTACCAGAAGTTTAGAGAGAACTCCTCTGTAATTAAGTATGGCAGCTTTGTGAGCACTGCCAAAGTCAGCCCAACTAGAGTGAAGTCTATTGAAAGAGTTCCAAAGAAATCTCAGAGGAAGCTAGATATGAACTCAAGGAAGCCTTCATGCGGAAAGAGGAAAAAGTCTTGCTCCTCTAAAGCCCAGACTAAAGCTCAGGTTTCCATAGCAAGTCACTATAAAAATAAATCTTCATACAGGAAGTTTACAAGAAATCAATTCACTAGCGAAGCTCTGGATTCTGGATATGGATCACTGATTGATAGTTATACAGAGATGTTGTCAAAGAGGAAAAATTGTAAGAAGCCTAATAAAAAGGAAGCCTCTCAGTCTTTCCATGCTGGGCTTAAGAAGAAATCTAAGCATAAAAGGAGCTTCTTAGAGCCCAATATTCAAACAGTAACCAGGTTATTAGGAAAAGAGACTTTTGATTTTAATGGCATAAGCCTCAATGGATCTACAGATGGTTATAAAAAGGCTACAACTAAGAGATTACACTGTCGGAGGAACACTACTCAGTGCACCAAGAAAAATTCTGTATCTAAACCCTCAAAACCTAAGAAGGCAACACCATCTGTAAAGTGATCTTTTCATGAGAATTACATGACAGTCCACTCTGTTACTAGTAGTTGTAAGAATATGGCCAAGAAAGATGCAAATGCGGGCAAATCAGAGGTCACATCAAACGAGTCTACTCCTCGTATTGGTGACGAAGATGTGGTTGTTAATACCATTACTGGAGGATACGGAGAAACGATCAAGAACTCTTTCTGCAGCAAGAATATCAGCTTTAAAAATAAATTTAGATAATCAGTTTATAAGCAATTATTCACCAAAGATTTTTGAATGGAAATCTATCAAAAAGTTCAACTACAGTTGGTCTTCTGAAATTATCCTAGATATTAGGTGAGATAAGTACTGCTTGTGGATGGTGATCAAGCTCTGCAAATAAGTAGGACGCTGCACTTCAGTCTTCTTCGCTTTCCTATAAGTAAGGGGTTATTGGAATTTTAGGTAAAAATACCTTAATCGATGATATCTACTCTGTAGTTCTTCGATTTTCCTCTCATTTTCATATTCATTAATCTTTCGATTCAGTGTATAATCAGTCAGGTACTCTGCTTTAGGGAGATCTCAGAGACTGACAACTGGTTCTTTCCTCTTCTTTATCTTTACCTAAGTTTATTAGCATCATAAATTGTTGTAGAAATAAATGCAGAAAGCACCTTTTTGAGACAGCTTTAATATAAGAATATTTACCCTTTTCTTCATTTTAATCTCAAATTTATTTCATTAACTCCTGATTTTTCTTGATTCTTTGGCTTAAACAGTTATGAATGGGATATTTACAGGTCAGGCTTGCTAGCTGTATTTTCAAGCTTGCTTTGATAAGAAGATTGCGGCCTGAAATAGATTATGGTTGAGAAAATACCTGAACATTTTATACCTGCTTTCATTATGATGTATACTGTTTGTAGATTTCAGTCTAAAGTTAGCAGAACCTAAGAAATTAGATGAATAATTACTATATTCTGATCTCGAAGGTGTGGAAGTCCTAGAAAATTTCCCTATGAATTAGAATCTATCACAATACTATTTGCTGATTTGTGTTCCATAGAACTATTTTTCCGAATCTTCCCACGATCAAACTTTTTGCCCAAAGAAGTGCTTGGCCTAGACCTTTTTCGTGATTTTAAATTCCTCGGAAAGCTAGTAAGCGAATAACTTCTTTTGGCAAACTTATTCCCTGTATTCCCTCTCTCAAATCCAGACCTATAACGCCTTGTTAGACCTTTTGCTGATTCTAAAACTCAGCTTCTACTCAGACTCCCTAAATTGTCAAAATTCCTTCGAGAATGCCAATTCAGCCAAGCCTTACATTTTATTTATTAGCAACGACGTCACCAACAATTTTGGACCTGAACTTGAAATATTTCTGAAAGGCTTCTTCCATTTGGCTATTATGGCGTTCGATTCTCTGCTTCATATGGAGTGGGTTTACCCGGTGGTAGTACTCCTCAATTACCTTCTACACACAGGTTAGGCCTACGGGACTAGAAAGCAGCCTGGAGGGGTTATCACAGGAAATGTACACCTTGTGAAGTGAAAACATTACCAATTCGTTATTCATTTTTATTAGAATTTTCTATATTTAAAATAGATTTGGGGTTTTGGGGTTTTGGGGTTTTGGGGTTTTGGGGTTTTGGGG